ATGCGCTTGTCAAATACGCCTGTCAGTTCCTAAACTTAAATAAGATCCACCCCCCCCACACCAGCCACTTCTAAATGAGAGCAAAACACACGACACTAGTAATGGGAGTCTTCGGTGGCATTGGATTAGTGGAACGAGAGAGCAGAACGTGCACTACCCTGCAGTGAACATGCATCGTTGGGCCAACGTTAAGCTACGTTGTTGGACAAACATTGTGTGTTTTGGGTAGAGTTCACAGACAGGCGACACGTGAAGATAATGCCGTTTTCAAATAGAAGTCTTCGAAAGCGGATTTGGAGGAGCCCAAATTGTAGGAATTTTGCTGAATTTTTTGTTTATTCCCATCGATAAACAAACTCAAGAATGTCAGCCATGACTGTCCTTCAGTAAATTTAACACAGGAAGCGGCCACAGGTTGGTAAGATGGTAGTTATGCTTCACCCGTTGCCAAATATAGGACGTAACTACATTTAGGGTAACAAGACAAGATAACGAAGATTAAACACAAGTTCAGGAGGGAGGAGCATATAATCCGATTCTAAACAACAGATCCACACTCCTAGAGAGGCAAACTGATGAACGGGATACCATCACTTTTAATCATTAAATAGCCAGCACTCTTTGGACCGTTCACTGCAAGTTAGGGGGAAAGTAAAAAGGTGAGCACAAATAAATCTTATATATTGCCACGAACGGAGAAAACAAAAGAGGGAGGTCATGAAAGATGAAAGTTCCAAATTACAGAAAGAACATACGGAACTGTAAAATCATCAGGAAAATAAGAGCTGAACTCAACAGAGTGGTTGAAGGTGTCATGATAATTAATTGGAACATGAACGTTGCAGAAAATTTGAAAATCACAAGTGGTAGCTCTAAGAGCGCCAGACGAAACCTTAACACAGTATAGACAGCTGTATTTAAGAAAGACTTTTCCACTAGACCCCAATCTGCAACATCAACCAAATTTGCGAAGAGATATAAAATTACACTTTTGCCGGGCTGATATTGGTGATGAAAGGCATTCCATTCAGTGGAGACTGCGGCAGTCATCCAAGCTTTCGCATGCCAACGCTTTAACAATAAAAAATATGTAGACATTAAAAACATGTACAAATGGCTGCTGCAAAATGGAGATTCAATGAAAATAATAAACTACAAATTAGCAGAGCAGCCGGGCAATGATACACACTCTCGCCAATTATTTACAGCAACGTTACAGAAGATGTGAACCTCTTGCAGCTATAAAGACTTAAACGTGAATGGAGGAAGGTTTAAGCTGTCTAATATTTGCAGATAATGGTCATTTTCCAGGAGTGAACACAAATTACATTAAGCAATGGAAACACTTCGCAAAGATGTTTGAGCAATTGTACCCGAGATAAAATGAGCGAAATAAAAGCAATGCGCGACAAGTTTGTGCCAAACAAATACATTGTTAAAGGACCCAATTTGAAAACACAGTGGAATATGTATTTACCTAGGGCAATTATTGAAGGTGGAGTGGAATAAAAACTATGAAATAAAGAGAACAAAGCAATGATGGAGTGCCCTTTCGTAAATTGAACATGATTATGAAAAGGAGCGTACCAAATGTGTGTGAAGAAAATGTTCAATCAGTGGACACTGCCAGATGTAACGATGGATCAGAAACACATATACACTGGCAAAGATAATGGGGAAAAAGCTGAAAAGTGTGCAAACAAGCGTGCAGAGATGCATGCTTGGAATTTTGCCGAGATAAAAAAGGGAACATATGGATCAAAAAACAAACACAATTCAGAGACATTTTTACAATGAAGAAACGTAAATAAGTTGGAGCAGGACACAACACAATATGGGATGATGATCGACGGACAACATTTGGTGACAATGGCGGCCAAAATGATAGAAAACATCTAGGAGGACAACCAATGTGGAGATGGAGTGATGGTATCAGTTCATGTGCAGGAGTGAGATGGATGGTAGCACGCGCAAGGAGCATGAGGGATGGCAATGGTGTGGGGAGGCCTTCACCCAGGAGTGGAAAGACCAGAGTTGCTGATGATGAGATGACTTTGAAGTGCAACACTTTGGTGCATGACCTTTGTCCACATTTCATTGAATCCAAAGGTTCTTCGATTTAGATTTGCCACATTTATACTTTCTGTTTGCATACTTATTTGTTTGATTCTACAAATATATGCGCCTGGGTTGTAAAATGTTTAACTTTTATTTATTAACAACAAGTACATATTTTTTTTATAAGAATATATAATTTCCCAGTAAACGTGTGGAATGTTGGGCCAACAAGATTTTAATGTGCTTGGAACCATTTTTCAAAGTTTATATTTTTCTGAGAGATTTTTTGAAAATTCTCAAACAAATACAGATGAAGGCCTTTCCCAAGCCACCGCCATCTCTCACAATCCTGCGATGTACAATTCCACCTGGCTCCTGCACGCAAACCGATTGCATCGCTCCATCTCCCTGGTGGACGTCCTCTCGGTTACATTTCATTCCTCGGCTACTAGTCCATCATTATTCTTGATCATCGGCCACCGTGCCCTGTCCCTGGACGTATATCGTTTAATCTTAAATGTGCATTTACAATCCCAGACAGCCACAAATCTCCCACGTGACTCGGTGTTGCATATACTGTGCAAACACCAGATTGTAAGAACACAATTCACACTCCAGTTACCTTCATACCGTATTCCCCGGTGACGACATAAACCCCACCGTCATTAGTTGTTAAGCACGAACAATAAGTGTGCGGTTATATCTAAGCGAATTTGTAAATACAACTGCAGAAAGTGACATGGTTGAAACAATGAAGGTATTCGAATTCAATCACCATAGACACCACACACACAATGTATACCACGTATTCACCATAAACACTAGACACACCATAGACATCTGACATACACGATAGATACAACACACAAACACCACGTAAACACCACACACATCCAATGGCTACCACATGCACCTTCGATTAGCACGGTTGGCATACGTACGGTGTGATAGAAGTTCAACACATCTGCCAGAGACCACACACAAACACCTCACATACACAATGGACATAAGACAAATATCTCCCGCATAGCCTTAACATACTATTGAGGCAAGTGCTGTTAGCGAGCATCTACGAAACACCACAGACACCTCAAATCCCAAAGACATGCTCACACATCACATACATCACATACGCCCCATAGGCACCACAAACACACCAATAGTGACCGCAAACACAACGTAAATACAACACGCACACACACCACACGTATACCAGACCCCACACGTACACCAGACCCCACACGTACACCAGACACCACACACAGGCCATAGACACCAGATTCACACCACACAGACTATTGTCACCACATGTGCACCATAGATACCACACATACCACACGTATACACACCATAAATATCACACACGTGCCATCGTAACTACACCCACACCATAGCCACCGCATACACGCCACATGCACACCATATAAACTACACGAAGACACCACACACATAAATGACACATACCACACATATACCACACACCATACACACTACACAAATCGCATGTCTCGTCTCTAGATCGTGCCGTGTCTGTTTAGCCCCCCTCTGTCCGGACAAACAGAAGATGTTGGGCATGCGGGCTACAGCCAACGCAGCTCGCCTCGTCCTGGAATAACTCCTGATACCATGGACAGATCTTTTAAGTGAATCTTGCCTGGTTCTAACCCAGGATGGTTCTTTAAAGCAGGCCAGCCTGAATGTTTAAATGTCGCACAGATGTTTCTGAAAAGGCGTCCTGCAGCTTTCACAAGCACAGCGAGGAGAGGACACGAATTGTGACTGAGAAGTCCCTAAGCTTCTTCGTGTGGAGCACAGCAGGACACACAGCGTCCACAAAAGGATCCTGATCAGCATCACCATCGTCGTCGTCGTCATCACCACCACGAATATTATTGTCATCGTCACCACCATCACTACCTTATACACAAACACATCACCATCATGATTGACACTGGCAGTATCACTACCATTGTGAGCCATCCACATCAACACCTGAACACCGTCTTCTTCACCATCATCATCACCACTTCTATCACCATTACCATGACCATTACTGTATGAACAATACCGATCATCACCACCACCATAAACACCCACCATTGTCATTACCATGGACATTAACATAATGATCACCTTCACGGAAATCGCCATCAATTTCACCAGCATCACTGTTAACATCCCCGTGGGGTCCCTCGCTACTCGCGGTATGGAATTTATTGCGATTTTCGCAGGGATTTTATCAGCAGCAGCAGCACCATGACGGTTGTGCTGCTGCCGATGGTGGTGGTGGTGGTGACGGCATGTTGTAATTAAGATCGTGCTCATTAGCCAATGTATTGAAGCTGCTGATGATGTGGCTACAGGTGATGATAAGCATGTGATGTTGATGGCGACGCTTTAATATTGCAATAACGACGAGCGCTGATCAAATATTCTATTGTATTCTGATCGCGACGATGACCAAGACAATTCTGCTGATAACGATGATGCTGTTGACGATTGATGGAAATTGAGACCTGGAGTTGTTGGCAATTCTGCAGATTCTGTTAAAGTAATGATATGATGATTGCTGATGATGGTGACGATACATATACTACTGATGCTGATGGCATTGGCGATGACAACGATCATGTGGACTTGTTGATAACTAAGTGACAATGATGTAATGCTACTATAACTGATCATGGTAACGATGTTATTGACAATGCTATTGCTACTGCTGACGATGCTCTTACTGCTCCTGATGATGCTACTGACGATGCTGCTATTGTCAACGACGACGGCGACGCTGCTTGCACTCCCAATAATGATGCCGATGTTGTTGCTTCTATCGATGATGGTGACAATGCTGGCAACTGCAGCTACTGTTGCTACCGCCGCTGCTGATGGTCTTACTGCAGCTACTATGGTGATGCTGCTGCTGATGCGATGCAATTGCTTACCGATCTGCACGCTGCCCGGAGAAGCCCCGGCGGCAAAACAGAGGCCAGCAAAACACGACATGAATCTGAAGATCCAGGCCATCGTCTCCAACCTCTCTCTATTTCTCTCCGCTCTGACGTGCCCGTCTCGTCCTCACGCCAGCGCGTCAATGCTGCCGATATTACAACAGCAGCAGCAGCAGTCCGTCCGACATCGAGACCGCATCTCTCTCCACCCCCTCCATGCGCAGCCGTCTCTCCCTGTAAGCTCCTCTCTGTGTGCGCCTGTGCACCTCCCTCCCTCCCCGCTTCCTCCCTCTCTCTATAGCCGCCTCCCTCTCCCTGGGTTTTGCTCTCGTATCTTCCCCCCCCCCCCCCCACCTATACTCTGTGTATCTCCGACTCTGTCTCCACGTGTGTATATCTCTACCTTTCTGTGTCCCTATCTCGCCCCCGTGTATTTCTCTAACCTCTATTCTGTGTTTGTCGATGTCTCTGTGCCTCTCTCCATCTCTCTCGCTGTGTACAATCTCGACAGCTCGCTCGCCCCCCCCCTCGTCTCTCTCTCTCGCCCTCCCAATAGCTGCAGGCTTATGTCAACGGGACATATATCTTCACATTAAATACCGTTTCCCTCCACCTCATCCCCCTCCGTCTCTCTCCATCGCTCGTTTATCTCTTCTCCCCGTTGCTCTCTCCCGCTCGTTATCTCCCTCGCACCACTCGATCAATGGCAGTGAGAGATTGATCTCGCAACAATAGCCATTGTTCTCGCCGATGGTCCGCGCCTCGCTCCACACTGCCCCCACGGGGCCCTGCGCTCCCTTACATGCTCTACCTCTCCACGCCTTTCCACGTGTTTCTCTACGCGTGTGCGTCTCCGTGCCTCCACGTTCATCAAGGCAACATGTTCTCTCCGTTCCAACCTCGCGTGAAGCTGCGTGAGCTTCCGCTCCCACTCGCTCCCATTGTCTCTGCCCATTGTCTCTGCCCATTGTTTCTCCTGTCACCCCCCACCCCTCTGTCGCTCCCCTTTCCCACCGTTCTCTTCCCTTGCCCCTCTCCTTTCGTCTCTCTCTCCGTCTACGCCCTCTTCTCACATGTCTCTCGCCTCCCTCTGTCTCTTTGATCTCTTTTAATTTTCGCCTTATTTCCGCTAATTAGTGAAGTGTGAGCGCTGTGTTTGTGAGCTTAATTTGGATAATTTCAGTGGCGGGTTTTATAGAATCACCATCAGCGAGGCAGACGGCTTGTGCAGTTGCAGTTCCCACTTCTTTTTGTTAATCGACATCTCCCTCCACTTGTAAATATGAACTCACATCTTCTTGGTTCTTTCGGTAAAGTCACGTATTATTTTATTATTTCCCTTCTACGTGACTTTACCGAAAGAACCAAGAAGATGAATCCCTGCAGTCACGAAAGCTTTAAATCGAAATATGAACTAACATCAACGAGAATACTGGCAGTATGGGAATCCCTTGAATATCGCGGATTTATAGTTCGATATTTCGACCTATGGGGCCGTCCATAAATGACGTCACGCCTCTAGTGGGGGGGGGGGGTCAGACATTTGTGACGATGTGACGAGGAGGGGGGTGAGAAATGTGACGTCACATTAAAATGCGCAACTTTAAATAAATATAGAATTGTTATAACACTAATTGTTATAACACTCCGACAACATCAGAGTGCAGCGCCACATTAAATACGCACTACAATGACAATAGTTTCAAGCGATTTGAAGCATGTTTTGGGGGGGGGGGGGGGGGCACAGCTTTGTGACGTCATATTTGAGGGGGGGTCTAGCTTTTCGTGACGCCGTGTGACGAGGGGGGGGGGGTAAAAAAATCTTCCAAAATCGCGTGACGTCATTTATGGACGGCCTCTATCGTGGACAACCTCTCTGTACACCAATTTAGCTATGGGGGGGGGGGGGGGGGGGCTAATGTCGCGGGTATACTATCCATGGAGGTGCTGTACCATGGTGTTGTTTGGCTGCTGCTGTGGTGCGGGGCGGGCGAGGGACGCGAGGCAGTCCAGTCGCACCTCAACCTCTGCCGTTCAAGCATCTAGCGGCAGAGGTGTGGACTCGAGTCATGTGACTTGGACTCGAGTCAGACTCGAGTCATGAATTTGATGACTTGAGACTCGACTTGGACTTGCATAACAATGACTTTGTCCCACCTCTGAGGTGTGGACTCGAGTCATGTGACTTGGACTCGAGTCAGACTCGAGTCATGAATTTGATGACTTGAGACTCGACTTGGACTTGCATAACAATGACTTTGTCCCACCTCTGTCTAGCGGACAATCAAAGACCCCCCCCCCCTCTCTCCCCTATAGCTGATGAACAGACTGTTGGGGCAAGTGCTATAAGGAGGTGGGGTGGCCACAGCACCACGCCCGGCACCCTTTTCTCCCCAGTGGTGACATTTACACATCGCAAAAGGTACCCATTTAAGGCTGAGTCGACCTAGGGGAGGCCCAGGATCGATTAAGATAATCGTCACTGGTGTTGGTCGTGAGCGGGAATTGTATTGGAAGGCAGGCTCGTAGCGCAGCGCGCTACCCACTTCACTTCCGCTCCCAAATCACGGACAAAGACGCATTCCCACACTTGGGATCACCATCATCATCATCTGTGAGTACGCGACTCGGTATGTATACTGTTCATTGTATAGGAATGTAATGTTTTTACATGTCATTTTAATTATTTGTTATTCGTTTATTTTGCATATACAGTCGTGATGTCTATTCTGTATACCTAACCCTTATTATTTAAGTATTGAATATCGCGGGTTTGGCTTTCACGGCACTTTCTGAGAACGTCACCTCCGCGCGATATTAATGGGTGCCATGTATATGAAACGTCTGTATCCACCCCGCACGCTAACAGTAAGAGTTCAGTGGTGAAAGAGACGACGTCACGTGATTTTGGACGATTTTTGATCTCCCCCCTCCCTCGTCACACGGCGTCACAAAAAGTCAGACCCCCCCCCCCCAAAACCATGTTTCCATTTTGTAAATAAAACATGCTGCAAATCGCTTTAAACTATTGTCATTGTAGTGCGTATTTAATGTGGCGCTGCACTCTGATGTTGTAGGAGAAAACATTTATTAAAAAGTCTATTTAATTAAGTAGAACGTGTTGTTTTCTTGGTTCTTTCGGTAAAGTCACGTAGAAGGGAAGTAATAAAATAATAAAAATAAAACATAATAAAACAATTCTCACGACGTTTCGGCTACAACGCAAGCAGCCGTCCTCAGGTGAAAACCAGGTCCGTCGAGGCGACAGAGTCTGAATGAAACAGCACACGGGCTTGGAGCATATATATAAGCTGGGCGCATTGACAAAGGAATTTGCATCCTTTGTCAATGCGCCCAGCTTATATATATGCTCCAAGCCCGTGTGCTGTTTCATTCAGACTCTGTCGCCTCGACGGACCTGGTTTTCACCTGAGGACGGCTGCTTGCGTTGTAGCCGAAACGTCGTGAGAATTGTTTTATTATGTTTTATTTTTATTATTTTATTACTTCCCTTCTACGTGACTTTACCGAAAGAACCAAGAAGATGAATCCCTGCAGTCACGAAAGCTTTAAATCGAAATTTAGAACGTGTTGTCTATATTTTAAGTCACACATCGTCACAAATGTCTAACCCCCCCCCCCCAGGTGCGTGACGTCATTTATGGACGGCCCTAATAACTATAAAAAAAATACTTGAAACTTTGTAGCAGAACGAAGCAAAATGGAGAGTACAATTATAACAATGATATTCATTCCACAGAATGAAAAGCCCTGGTAGAATCATTAGAATAAATGTTTTAATAACAATAATTAAAAACATTTTCAAAATGTAAGCTTCTCCATTCTCTGATGGAGAAGCAAAATGCTCCTTCATGGAATAAATAAAAGGTGACCTTAGTAAATTGAAATAATCAAATAGTTAATAATGACAATTAATGTAAATTAGTGTTATAACAATTCTATATTTATTTAAAGTTGCGCATTTTGATGTGACATCATATTTCTCAAACCCCCCCCCCCCCCCTATCACACATCGTCACAAATGTCTGCCCCCCCCAAGTGCGTGACGTCATTTATGGACGGCCCCTAACCCTTATTATTTAAGTATTGAATATCTCGGTTTTGGCTTTCACGGCACTTTCTCAGAACGTAACCCCCGCGCGATATTTAAGGGTGCCATGTATATGTAACGTCTGTATCCACCCCGCACGCTAACAGTAAGAGTTCAGTGGTGAAAGAGACCCGGTTTGAAGTGGGGTTTAGGCTCAGGGTCTGTGCTAGGGTCAAGGTCTGAGTTGGGTCAGCTCTGAGGTGAGCGAATCATCAAGTCCCGTGCACAGCTCTCCAATCTTCCACCACTTCGGTGGGCGGCTCTCGTTTGCTTATGGACTGGCGGCACCATGCCCAACAATAACCGTTCACCACTGCGGCGGGAACCACGCGGCGCTCGTGCCAAACTCGGTGCACTGAGGCCACGTGAAGTGTCAAAGAACCACTGGTAGCTCATGGAACAGATCCAGTGCCATGGGTCGACTAAGATGACTGACAAATGCACTGTGCTCCCCCACTGCTAACTTTCTGTTTAGCCGCTCGTCGCTCTGCTCGTTTTCAACGTCACTCCTCTTGTGAGCATCACTTCTATACCACATCAATCCACCTCTTCTCTAACCCATTGCCTGGGCATGTGGGCTTTCTGAACCAGCATTACTTGGCGGAGCTCACTTGTGGCACTGTGTCCAGATCTTTCAAGGATCTGAGCTCCTCACACTATCCAGTCTGGTTAAACCCAGGATGGATTGTAAAGGATAGCCTGAATGTTTCAAATTGGCACAGACATTGCTTTAGAGCAATGGTTCTTAACCTGGGGTGCACGCACCCTTTGGGGGTGCGAGATGCCCTTTCTGGGGGTGCAAGACATACCATATTTTTTTCGAAGGTAAATCATCGAAAATACAAAGGACGGGCACGTAAGCACAACTAATTTGTTTAACCAAACCTGTGTATTAACATGCATTTGTTAAAGATTGAGAGCCAAAGAGGTGCAGACTGCAGTAAAAAGTTAAGAACCACTGTTGTTAGAGGACTCTCGCAAGCATAGAGAAGGGAGGGCATAACTGTGGTATAGAAGACCCAGAGCTTTGTATGGAGTGACAGGCCAGGTCATTTTTACACAGTGCTACGCAGCTGATGCATATATTTCGTTCGACTGATTTAGAGTGAGACCTCGGCTGCCAAACTGGAGTTGGTCATAAGCACACTGCTCAAGTACAGAAACTCCCTCCACAACTGCCCCATCACTAATGGAGAGTTGAGCACTTGATGGCATAAAATACCCAGGTGGTTTGTTTTTGTGGGCTGATGGTAAGGCTCCCAACTCTTAATCGTATCTTCTTCTTGATTCTTTCGGTATGCTCCAGGTTCAGCAGTAGCATCTCCGACTTCTCAGAGTGGCCAGCAATCACCAGATCTGCATACATATGGTTGACCAATAGGGAGCTATCCCTTGTATGTTGAATTTCTTTCCCACCGTACACAGCCAACCGTGATAATTAATCGGTGCTAATCTCTTGACCCGGGCATTGAACAGCCTCCCATTGTTTCAATATTACACTGGTTTTAAAACGCCAGTGTGTCGTCCTAAGCACTGACCTTAACACAGTGGCCAGAGAATTACCACTGCCTGGATAATTTAGCTTGCCAGAGCCAGTACATGATCCAGTATTTTTCCACTCTAGCAGTAGTGTGTCCTCTCATGGTAGAGCCACCTTTTATATTCCAGGTAGTTTCTCCACAGGCCGACCACCTGATAGTACAGAGTAACGTGCCCATTAATAACACTTTTGGAGAGAGGCTGCCTCATCAGCAGTCGTCTGTAACCTAGAGTCACATGTTGTACCGTGACTGGAGGCAGCTCCAAGCAGATTGTTTCTGGGGGCACTAGTGAGATCACGTTTGGGAATCAGTAGCCTTTGGCTCTAGGTGACAGAGAAACTGCTGCAGTATAGTCTGCGAACTTACAGGCACTTAATTCTTGTGAAAAGTGCTTCTCTTTCTTTCTCGTCTTATAATCTGTTAAAAAACGTTTATTGCTCTACTGCATCTAACAATAACTATATAATCACATTGAAACAATTCAATTCCGTCTCCTGTCCTTAACAGAAACTCAGATCTCACCATCGTCTGACCTCACAAACGCAATGTTCCCAGGCTACAGCCTTTTCCACTCTTTCTGGTTGAAAAGTGGAGTTTGCATGTACTGTACACCCACCAGAGACCATGTCTCTGTGCCCCACCACCCCGTGCTTGGAAGGCACTGGTTATGATCTCCTGTGGATCCATCTCTCCCTCCAATACATTCATTTGCCGTTTATCACTCACCAAATGTAGACAATCAAAACTTCACGACCACAATCTGCTTCTTTTACTGTGCCACCTCCTCTTGGGACAGCCCCCGGTGTCTCCTCGTCATCCACTGTCGCCACCACTTCTCATTTGAACCCTCGACCACACTTGCAGGGGGATTCCCCCTTACTGGTGCAACAGCCCCCATCGCCAGGACATCTGTGAAAAAGCTTCAGAGCTCATCGGATTCTTCCAGTCTAACACAACCATACTCGCCCACTCAATCACCCCCACCCCCCACCAACTCCCCCATTACAGCTCCCGAGATTCAAACCTGTCATCTGCGACCGTAGCATTTTTTTTGTATTGACATGTATGATTGCCCGTATGTCTTTGTTGTTGTTGTGGTCCTTTCCTTGCTGTTGTGCTTGCTCAATGATGGCATAATAACCACGGTAACAGAAGGGGGGGGGGGTATACATTCCAAAAGGTATCCCTCTGCATCGGGAGCATCACCGTACGTACCTTTGCACCATGCGCATTGTGTCATGTTTTTTTGTGGCTCGCCAGGTTATGGCGCTATAGAAATTTCTTATATTTTTTATTGTTTCTTGAATAGAGAAATACATGTTATTAAATTAGACTCTTTGCAAGTAGTTGCCCACAGGCCACATGAGATCACAATGTACTTTTCAAACATGCATGTGACACATACAGCCTATAAGCTGACGTTATACACTATCTTCTGAGTAATATTGCTGAGACATGAAACACTGCAAGTTTACAACACACTGGCTCCTGTATTTTAAAGTTTTTTGTACTTATAAATAAGGCTACGACTTTTTAACGGTAAGTTTTTGAGAAATGCATGGCTGAAATGCGGGCAAAAATGTAGGACATTTTGTTTATAAATAAAGAAAGCATGTTTGTGTGGATCTGTGCGATTGTGTCTCTGTGCATCTAACTGTATTTCCGTGTCTCTGTGTCTTGTCTCACCATCTCTCCATGTGTGTGTACATATCCGTGTCTCTCTGTATCTCCATGTATTTGAGTGTGTGTATGTATCTCCGTGTGCCTTCCTCTCTATCTGTATCTCTACAAACCAATTTCTCTCATTTGCTGGCAGGATCGGTTCCCCCCCCCCCCCCAAGTCTAACCATGGAAGTGCCTAATCTAATGTGTTTCCAAATTTTATGTACTTTACTCTAGATCCCAATTTTTGTAGCCTTATAGGATTATGCTAACCAAGCCCAGTAAAGCTTCTTGCCCATTAACCTTGGCAAGTATAGGTGGGAATGACTGCCCATCAGCCTTCCTCTTCTGCCAGACACTCCAGCCCAGAAAGCTCACTGAGACCAGCCAGATTACCGAGGCAAGCAACTGAGGTCCACTCAAGCTTACTCGGAATGTGAACAAAAAACAAATCAAAAACAGTAGTGTAAATATACAGTAATATGATGCAGTATAACGAAGGTACAGTGTATGTGTTCTCTTGATGAAGATTCAACATTTCATTATTACATTCATCCACATGTTCATTAGAGAAAAAACGGGCTTCCATTTTTTTCCACAGCAAAGGCAACACTCTTGACAATGCAGTGAAACCCATACGACCTCACGTATGCATATTTGTTTTTTGTATGCCTGTCTGTGCCTTGTGTGTGCATCACTGTATGCGTAGGAACAGGGCTGCACCACACTGGATCCACTTGTCGATGTCCCCGTCACACGGGACCGCCACATGCGTGACGATGTGGTCGCGCTCCACACTTGTGTACACGGGCAGAGACACGCTCTCCCCACCACGGTATATGCTGGGAGAGTCCTGTACATGTACACATGTGTACACAGAGATTCACACGTACATGAGCGGGGAAACTCTCCTCACCATTCATGTGCCATGCACTCTATGTGTACGTGTATACAGGTGTATATATATATATTACTCTGTTACAGGTGCATGCATAAGGGGAGGAACATTTTCAAAATTACGGTTCTGTACAGATGTGAGCAGAAACGCATTCCCCTAAAAAATACAAGTGCAGGGGTCCGGCACACTCACATATTAGAAAATACACGCACATATAAATGTGTATACGCATAAACACGCACTCACACATGGGTATACATAATCATACTTATATGCACACTCACATATACTTGCATACCAACATATCCCCTGTATTGCCTTTACAGACTGTTGGCACAAGTGCTGCTCCAGTGAGCACATGTGAAGGCCAATATGGCACACGAGAGGGTTGTGCAGCCAACTCCCCAGTGCTGATGTTTACATACTGCACCAAATACTCATTCAAAGCTCAGTCATCCTAAGGAAGGCCCAGGACCGGTTTAGATATTCGTCACCGATGTTGGTCGTGAGTGGGAATCAAAACTCAGGTTGCCAGGTGGGTAGCGTGGGACGCTAACCACGGAACAGCCGCTCCCCACTCTGCACTCACATAAACACATAAGTGCGTACACATGTGTGCACATACACACCTGTGGCACCCAGGCAAGTCGGCAGGCTGGCAGGGGGCACAAGCTTGGGGAGTCCCGGACACTCTCCTCTAGTCCCGCGCCGCCCCACGTACAACCCTCAAGCTGCAGGCCTCCCACCTACACCAAGCCCATGGCAACCAGGGCAACCCAAGGAAGAACCATGGGAACCACAGAGACAATGGGAATCATGTGGCTCAATGTAACTACATGGACCATAGCAGCCACAGGAAACTTGAACACCACATGAATAGGAGCCACAAGAAACATGTGAACCAAATTAACTTAATGAACTTTCGGAAACATTGAAAAATATTAAACACATGAACTATTGGAGACACAGAAAATATTAGAAACCCAGGAGCTGCATCAGCGACAAGAAGCACACGAACAACATTAACCAGGGAGTCAAAGGAACCACGTTTATTCTGACATATACTGTATTCCTTGTGAAACACATGATCTACAACCATGTGAACAATGGAAATTAAATAATAGGAACCACAGGAACAAAGACATTGTGAGTCCTACAAATCATGGGAATCATAAAAACCATGCCAATACGTAAATCACAGGAGCCAGATGAAATCACACAAGTGTGAACCACATGAACGGCATAATCCATGAAAAAAAACTTTAACTCTGTACACTACGTGAATTATGGAAACCACATTAACCACGCCAATTACAAAACTTCACAGATGTCAATCACATGAAGCTGAAAGGTAACATTTAACACCGCAGGAACAGGAACCTGCACATGGGTGAAGCTTGTCACCACGTAGATATTGAGACTGAGATCATACCTGGACCTGCGCGCGCGCCCCAGGGATGGGAGCCGTCCAGGAGGAAACGAGGTGAAGACTGTCCATGGAGCATCCCAGCTCCCTGTGAGATGCAGGTGAACGGGACAATGGTCGCACATACAAGTGTAGGGGAGTAGTGGGTGACGTCACGTCACGCTCGCCCTCGGAGAGAGTGGCGTCGCAGTACGTGTCGTCAGGCGGCCCTTGGGGGATGGTGACATCATGCCCCCGGGGGGGGGGGGGGTATTTAAAGGGGGACCCGGGATGTAACCGGGGTTGGTCGGAGGTAGGAGTGGGGACTCGGGGTAGGTGGTCCGCACACGAGGCTAGGGGAGGCTACTCCGCCCGACCGGCCGAGGTTGGGGTAGTCCTGACACTGGGGCAGGTAGGAGAGCCGAGTTAGCCGGGGTTGTAGGGATCACAGTACCCTGTCCCCTGGGGAGTTATAGGCTAGGGGGGTTTTGGTTCGGCGTAAGCCCTTAATAAACTTGGCGTGAGCCCCTAACGGAACCTGCCTCGGAGTCGTACATTGCACCGCGGCACAAGTATACGAGGACAGAGATTCAGGGATGCAGATACATGCACAGACATATAATCAGGGGACAGAAACACATTAAGTCACATGGGAATATGGAGATACACGAGTATTTTAGAGCTCAGTAGAACTCTGAGATATGAGAATGTGGAGACACGAGGTTAAAGCAGAAAATTGAGCTAGAAACAAAGCAACAGGCGGTCATGGGGACACATACCTATGTTATGCATTATGGTAAAGATTTAAACCAGGGTAATTGAATTGTGGGTGTTTATGTGTATGTAGCATAGTATTTATCCAGTGCAATGTCTAAACATCAATCTACCTAGGGGAGGATACCCCTTATAGTACAGGAGATAGAACCAGTCTATTGAACCTCCTATATTCCACAGACATCCGTGTAGCACCAGACTAGCCTCCAAAAGGAATGGGAGCTTATCAGCAAGCCTTAAGACATTCCACTTAGCAAGCTGTAGCACTTGCTTGTTATTTCTGAGAGCTCCTCATTATGGGAGTTTCTAATTGGTCTGATAAATGGGGTTTGGCCAGAAGACATCATGGGTGTATGTTTGCTATGGGCCTCTGGCACAATCTTGCATTGAGTTTTGTATCCACGATTCTTTGGTAATTAAATATAAGGTGGAGGGGTTACCATTCTCTTGCACCATACCAGCGACTACGTTTTTCCACCATTGTGGATGTGAGCATGCCACAGTGGTGTTCACCTTCCCTCCAATATCATTGCTCAAAATAGACCACAATGCTAACTCCCTGGCGCCACGAGGAAGTGAAAGGTTTGTTTACCAGACACTCATGCTCTCATACACAAGGACTCTCACACATACCTGGCCGTCTGCTGCCGCAAGGCATTTAAAAAACTCTGGGGGTGAAACAGCTCTGAGAGATCCAACTCGGAGCCCATTAGAGAATCAGACTTGGCACGTTCCAACCAGCCCTGCACACGGTACGCATATGCACCAGAGTGAACGCATATTCAGATCACATATACACTTTGCAGTATAGACTCACCGATCAATACCGATTCGTAAGCTCACAATACACAAATTGTGTGTAAGGATGTTTTCGATTAATTTATTTTTCATGACTTTTATGCAATGAGTTCCTATGACAGCCCATGCCAATAGAGGCTACTAACGTCCCCAATGAATTATGACACCAATTAAGAGGGGGAGAAAATCGTTAAACCACGAGTATATACCATGCAGTAAACAGAGCATTAACAAACAACAGCATGCATACACACCACGCAGCATGCATACACATAGTATAAATAATATATTATACATGAAAAGCATTTGGATGTACCATACATGTGCTGTACATTATAAATCAAAGACATGTATGTAATTGCATGATAACATTGTTAAATGATGCCTGGTGACCTCTGACCTGCAGGGCAAGGGCACGTGAGACCACGAAGCGCAGGTAGAGCATGGGGTCAATGGGCCCCTCCCATTCGGTGTGCCAGCTCGATGGGCACTGACACAGCACGTGAGAAACAGTGTGAGCAAGGTCATGGAACGTGACACACGGAACATCACATGTGGGACACTCGGTGTGAGACATCACTCACGGGATACGACACTTGCGACAGGAAATACGAGACGTAACAAACGGGACATGACACGTCGGGAACAAGGTGTAACAGATGACACTTGGGACACAGTATGAGACTTGACAGACGGGACACAATAACACACATGGAATCTCATACAGGACACATGGGCAAGAGATAAGTGAGGCAAGAGTTATGTGAAACACTGGACAACGCATGGCACGGGACACACAGGAGGCATGGGATACAAGAAACGACATTCCACAAGACACATGGTATAACACAACAAACAAGTCATGACACACACGACACAAGACATGCACAACATGGGATACAAGAAACGACATTCCACAAGACACATGGTATAACACAACAAACAAGACATGACACACACGACACAAGACATGCACAACATGGGATACAAGAAACGACATTCCACAAGACACATGGTATAACACAACAAACAAGACATGACACACACGACACAAGACATGCACAACATGGGATACAAGAAACGACATTCCACAAGACACATGGTATAACACAACAAACAAGACATGACACACACGACACAAGACATGCACAACATGGGATACAAGAAACGACATTCCACAAGACACATGGTATAACACAACAAACAAGACATGACACACACGACACAAGACATGCACAACATGGGATACAAGAAACGACATTCCACAAGACACATGGTATAACACAACAAACAAGACATGACACACACGACACAAGACATGCACAACATGGGATACAAGAAACGACATTCCACAAGACACATGGTATAACACAACAAAGAAGACATGACACACACGACACAAGACATGCACAACATGAGCCATTGAACAAGAGCCATATGACATGGATCACACCACGAGGCTCAAGACACAAAAGCTACAGAAATGAACGCAATAAATAAAACGGACGCAGACACGGCTTAAGTAATGACACGCGGCATGAGAATGCCTTACATCCTATAATGATCTATCTGGTGATACTGCCAGAGTGAGCTTTCTGTAATATTAATCTGGAAGGAGGCCGATACGGTGATGTATGTAATGTTATTTCCTTTCAATGATTCAACCAATCACATTGCCTACTTAATTATTTGTATTCCTTTGCAAAATATTTAGATAAGGTGCTAGTTACAGCCATGTTTACAAATCATTTAGTCACTCTGTGCCAAATGAACCCTCAGAGATGGCCTGGCCAAATTAAATATGGAATTAAATGTATTATATGATGGGGGCTATGTGTTTTCTGTGCATTCATTGATGACCAGGCCATGACCATAAAGTTCACTCCACACAAGGACCAGTTATGAATTTGGTTGAGTCGGAGCCTGGGAATCGAACCCAGAACCTGAGTAGTGCTGACCGAGTGATTCAACTTGGCCATTACGAGCCTCTTGAGACACCCCGCCATCTTTGTGGCTCAGCTCATTATTAATATTCAGACACTCATGCCTGCACACAGATAAGCGCTGAAAAACCCCATTATCTACGGCCATCGTTTAAATAAAAAATGTCCCACAGTTAATTGCATTCTGCGAAAGTAAAGTTAATTGCCATTTGCCCCCTCCCTCAAGCTCTGTGCCGCACTCTCCTATTGGTCCTCTCCAGCACCCTCCACATGCCCGTACTCTGTACTGCACAGTGTGTTCCTTTTCTCTCGACGGCACACAGACGCTCACTCTCCCTCATTCTATCCTTAACTCGGTGCCTCCCTACTGCTCCAATACACAAACTCTCGATTGTACATGCATTCTCTGATCCTGCTCTTCTGCATATCCTCCCTCTGAAGCAGAAACTCTTCCCCACTCATCGCTGTAGCCTGTCTATCAAGAACATGTTTTCCCTCAATTTCTCCTGCCCGCTGTGTAACATAGTGTTTATATAACTAGTCTTTTGCCTGTCCAAGGACGGGTGTATTGCAGTAAATCTGAAACTTGCAAGCGAAAAGCAGACAGCGACGTGATCTCAACAAAGGCTGATCTTGACACGACTGGTACCAGTCATTGTAAAGTCCAATCAACTCCATATCCTTCTACACCACATCAGTTCATCTCTTCTCTAGTCCGTTCAGTGCTCATTTAGCCCCATATATTTGAACGAACAGAAGCTGCTTGGGTATGCGGTGGCTGGGCACACGGGCCATATGACCCAGCCAGTGCAGCTTCCGTTGCCGGAGGAGCTCACTGATGGGACCATATCCCGATCTTTCAAGGATCTATGAACTCCTTACACAATCCAGTCTTTTCTAAACCCAGGATAAATCGTAGACAGGCGAGACTGAATTTTTCAATCTGGCGCAAATGTTCCTTTAGACAGTTCCACGTTTCGCAAGTATAGAGAAGTGAGGGCATAACTGTGGCCGAGAAGACTGGTCATAAGCACACTACCCAAGTATGAACACCTCTCCACTCTCTCCACAGGTGCTTGGTTTTTGTGGGGCTGATGGTAAGGCCCCATTGGTATATATCTCGAACTTATTTTGCACTGTAGCAAACTATACTAATAGTAGCCAACCGTATTAACCCCTTAGTAGCATGCTCCAAGGTTCAGCACTTGCATCTCCAACTCCTCAGAGTGGACAGTAATCACCAAATTATCTGCACACATATCGTTGACCAATAAGGAGCCATCCCCTGACCGTACCGGCGCATCGATCAGCCTCCTGTTGTATCTATACCAGATGGGAATTCCACCGGTACATAAATGGAAGGCTTCTGAAACTGTCTAGTCAAAAACGATGTTAAATAGTGTTGGGGCCATAGGACATCTCTGCCGCACCACAAAGTGAACAGAAAATGGCTCTGATATCCTGCCATGCAGCTTTACCCGGGCCTGCCCATCACCATGAAGGTCCTTCATGATTGTGAGCAGATGGTCTCGGACACCAAAATCATGAAGAAGCACCCAGAGCCCTGGCTTATTGATGCTATCATAGGCCTTAACCAGTTCAAGAAAGCAGAGATGTAGGTCCTGTTAAAATCCTCTACACTTCTGCTGTAGCATACGGACACGGAAAATAGAGTCCGAGCAGTCGGCAATCTGCTCTGCCTTGTATAGTAGCCACGCAATGATGCCTCAATTAAAAAAACATTCTTCACATGTATTCCTATGTTCACGTTAAATGAGTGGAATCATCTATGTAGGAATTTATTATTTTTTATGTGTAAATGTTACAACAAACTGGTGTGCTGTACTAGTAACGAATTAGGATGTTCTGTTTACGTGACAAACCTTACTAATTGGCTGTGTCGGGTGGTGGCAGGTTTAACGACACATTTATATATTTACGTGATCTAACCCAAAAAAACCTGTATTATGGATTATATGTAATTGTTGCAGCTTTTACAGCCACTAAAGTGGTATAACATTGACCACAATGTAGAAAAAAACAATTCTTGTAATGAATCACGAAGTGAGGGAATCGTTACATGCCGAACAGCCAGCTATTACATTTTATGTGTGTAAGGCCTGTAAGTTTGGTCTGCTGTATGTACAGCCTTCTGAATGGTTTTCTGTGTGTACAGCCTATGTTTGTAGTGTGGCTGTGTGCCCTGCATCTCCCTGCATTTGTCGCTTCTGCAGTGCCGTTTTAGCTTTTTCATTCAGCACCCGTACTTTAATATCAGATTGTCAATAACAACAAGCGTGTGATGGGATGGGTATGTGTTATATGCACTTATCCACCCTCATAGGCATGTCTCTGTGTTAGAGACAGTGCAAGTGTGTGTGAGAGAGGGAAAATATGTAGTGAAGGAGAAAATGAAAGATAGAGAGTCCTATTAAATAAAAAAATAGGACAGCTCAAATGAGCAGGGAGACATAACGTCTTGGGTTTTGAAACACTATCTCCTCAATCATTTGAATCAGTTTCTCAAAACACTAATCCTAAAACATCATGCACCAGATTCTAGTTGTGGCAGAAATGATCCTGAAACCCGAGTCTTTTGAATACTGTCTAAATGCACAGATCCAAAAACTGGTCGCATAAATCCTCGTCCTTAAGGCACTTTCTCAAGAAGCCTGATCACCTAGATCTGAATATGATTATGGCAATCCTGAAACCTGATCTCTTGGAGCCAATTCCAAAGACCTTTATCCTGCAGATCGTGATGCCCTGTCTCCTGGAGCCGATTCCCAAGACAATGATCCCATGCTCCTGAGTATCTCATGGATTAAGCACCTCAAGCTAATGCTTTATAGTCTTCTGTTTTGGAGCAAAGTACCAAAACATTAATATTAATATCTAGTGTATTTCACCTACATTCCAAGACACAATTATGATATCGCGTAAATTCAGTGTCTCAAGCTAATGATGATTAAACCAGATTTTAAGAAACTGATCCTGAAACTTAATTTCCTGGATCGGATTCCCACAATACTGATCCCATGATCCTGATATACATATTCTCCAAGTTTGGTGTACCAAGAAACTGGTGCTGATGGCAAGATCCGGGTGTTGGGCAGCATTTTGGTGCCGAGCATTAAGCCATTACCTGCTGGCGCAGCAGCGCAGAGGCGACATCGCTGGTGGTGGCAGAGAGGGGTGTGGCTCCACGGAGGAGCTTGCTGAGCGCAGCGAGCGACGCGTGCAGTCGCCGCACCAGACGCAGGGCCCCCACCGACTCTTGTGCTACAAACACTGCCACGGGACCACGGGCCTGTGCCTCCTGCACCAATGTCTCCTCTCCCCCACGTGGCTGGATCAGCTGTGAGCCCTGCACCGGGGTACAAGCAAGCTCGGGGTACACGCAGGCTCGGGGCACAGGCACGCATGGACACCCACTGTGAGCTTGTTTTGAAGGAGGGTGCAACCCATAAACAAATCGCTCACTATTGTGTAGTTACGTATCGAAGCTGTATGTCCTCCTCTGTCTGAGTTTTAAGCTTCAAACAAAGTGCTTTTAAAAGACCATATGATAGCTGTAATTTATTGATCCAAATGTGTGTGCATGTTTCAGTTTGTGTTGATACCCATACACACATTCACACACATGATTAACGTGCCTACAAATATATAACTTACAGCGTCTTGAGGTGTGTCGCATTTAACCACTGCATGAATCCAAATATTGTCATTGTATATACACAAACCTACACATAAACCCACACTTACAATCGGCACACATGCTTGGCTGTAGAGGTGGATGCTGTGAGCGAGCACTGATTAAAGTCGATACAACACACAAGGGTGTGGTGTGCCAGCACCATGCCTGGCTGTTTTGTCTTCCACGGTGCTGATGTTTACAGATTGTACCAGGTACTTGTTTACAAGCGAATTTACTGAGGGAAGGACATGTATAGATACCGCTACGATTGATTATTGTTTTGGCCAGGACTCACATTCAGGTCAATGGGTTTGTAGCAAGCATGCAAACCAGTCCACCACTGCTCTCCTTCACACATGTTCAGATACACCGACACACTCAAGACCATCAAAAAAACAAAGATCCCCCGTGTAGCCTTAATAGACTGTTGGGGCAAGTGTTGCTAGAGAGAACCGATAAAGGCTGGCACGGCACACGAGGGGGTGGGTGGCCAACACTACGCTCAGTCGCCTTTGTCTCCCCAGTGGCAATGTTTACATATCACACCAGGTACTCATTTGAGACTGAGTCAACCTAGGGGAGGCCCAAGACCGGTTCAGATAATCGTCACTGGTTTTGGCCGTGAGCGGGAATCGAACTCGGGTCGCCAGGTTCGTAGCGCAGCGCGCTTACCGCTGCACTACCACTCCCCACAAGACCCTCATACTTTTTCTCACACACACACAAACCTGGTTAAGCTTCTTCCACAGGTTGAGTACAGGCGAGAGTTCGTGTGACCACATCTCTCGGTCAAACTTCGTGTGAACACTCGCTGGCCGCATCATGGCTTTCAGCTGCCCAATCACCTGTGGGACAGGGGGAGGTCGCAGGCTGATATGAAGGCAAGTAGCCGAGTCAGGTTATTCCTGTAATTAAGGTTATGGTTAACGGTTAATTACTAGCCATCGAGCCATCTGCCACAGAATCGGTGCCTCATCCAATACAGAAACCTTGGCCCACAAAATATAGATCCCTTGTCTCAGGTTCAGATAGCACACGCCACTGATGTAGTGCATGTCTGGGAATCGAACACAGGTCACACAGATTGTGGCACAGTTCAATACCACGGCATCACCAATTTCCAAAACACGCACAGATGGATAGACAGATAAACAGACGTACACACAAGACAGCTGAATGTACATAGAGACTGAGGGGCAGACATAACAGACGGATGAAAAAATAATACGTGAAGACATGCACAAAAGGATGTGCACATGTAAATAAATACACGCAAAAAGAGATCAGCAGACATATATATGGACTAATATACATACATCAAGACATTTTGACAGACATACATACTATATTATTAGGTTTTTTTCGGTAAAGTCACGTAGGTAAAAAATTAAAATTAATAAAAGTAAAATAAAATATTATTAATTTAAAATTTTTACCTACGTGACTTTACCGAAAAAACCTAAGAATATGAATCCTTGCAGTCACGAAAGCTTCAAATCTAGAATTAGACATACATACTGATGGACTGGCAATTGGATGTGTAGACATTCTAGGTCTCATTGTAGTGAGGCTTGGGATGTTGGAACTACCAATACATGGACCAGCAATGCACGTGTAGTGACATAGAATGGATCACTATGGCGCATAGTGCTGGCTACAATAGAATAAGTAATATTTAAAAATACTTTTTTCAAAACACGATTTAATGAAATGTACCCTACTCGTAATGGCAAAACTCCACGGCTCCAGGAAGTGGCCCCGAAGCTTGCCATAACGTCAGGGGCCATGGTGATTTACAGCCAACGTCAGTTGAGCGTTGACAATTAGACCCAAGCCGAAACATAACATCAAAAAATAATGTTTAAAAACATATTTTTATTTTTTTATTAATGGTAGAATATAGTATTGTCATCAGTATGCCATAAGTATACCAAGTTTGCAGTCGATACCACATTGGGAAGTGGGTTAAAATTGAGTTACAAGATTTGAGAATACGACAACAGAGATGAGTTAATAGAAAGCGTGTAAAAAGAATGTTTAAATTTTTTTATTTTTTATGATAGAATATGGTAAGCCAGCATCAGGACTCAAGGTAAGTGAAAATAAAATGCTATTTATTTCTATTTATGTAACTTTATTTTATGTTTTATTTACTATACAGTATTTTTTTAACAGTGTTACATGCAAATGTACTGTATTTTTTTCTGATTTAAGAGTTTAAATACAGGACATTGTTGTGTTCCGACTTACGAACGGGTCCTAGGAACGAATTATGTTTTGTTCCTCAAGGATGGCCAGTTATGTATTTAGGTAATAATTACTGCTTTTATAAGGCTCTGAAATGCCTCAACATCTAAAAAAAGGCTTCATTTAAACCATTCGAAGGGGACCCCCAGTTGTAGCTGTCCATGTACAGTGCAAGGTGACTCAGCACTGGCCTGCACGTGGGCATTAGTCTGCCAGTAAGGGGGCTATAATGGCTACATTTAGGGTTCACTCCCCCCCCCCCGAATTTGGACCATGACGTTAACACACGATGGCTTGCTCTTTTTCAATGACATCACTTGACATTTAATGTCCACTGTGAAGTAGGCAGCATTGGTGGCCAATCGAAATCGAGCTGCAAAAAATCAATGCAAAAAGCAGCAAAATGCGCTACCACTGGGCCAATTCTCTGCATACATGTTTTGTCTGCATACAATAGACAATACATTGACAAACAATGCATGCAGACAAAACATGAACAGACAATACCAAGAGAAGCGTCACGTGGATAGATAATTAATAAATGTAGACACCTTAGGCCTCTTGGTGGTGAGACCGGCAGTGCGGGAGCGTGTCCGGGGTTGGCGGGGTTGGTTCACGGCTGGTTTTTACAATGGTCGGGTCAGGGTGAGGCGCGAAAGAGGCGAGGAGCTAGAGGCCACGGCTCACATAGGCACCCGTTTAGACGACTGTAATTTGAATTTTAAAATTAAACGCTGTTTCAATCGGGTCTTTCCTTTTCAAAACCCATTGCCATGCTGAAAGGCAAATTGCATCAATTTCCAGCCAAGTGCACTCTGTGCCGTCGCCGCCAATCACAAACCAATTATCGCCCAATTTAGTGGGGCATTTTAAGGGGCTGCCATTGCTATCGTTATAGCAAGACAAGCCAGTCAGCACGATAGCATCCCTTAACTGAGCCTTTTGATGTGTAAGTACTCTGAGTACCCTCTTATTGTTTATATTTCTTACGCATTTCCAATTCGCCATTTACAAGATCCTCATTGTTGGTATCAGAGCAGGGAGTGAAACAAAATTCCCACCACAGGTGGAAACGCCACAATCTTGTGCAGTACAGTAAAACCTCTCAAAACCAGGATATTGTGGTATTCCGGAAATGATCCACGAAATAAATAATACATTTTAAAAATCTCCAACTGGAATACTGTAGGTGTGCCAATTACACTGTGCACGGTAGAACTGGGTGACCTGTAGTGAATCCGCAGCATCAGTCTCATCGTCATTATAATCTGTCATGCCCAATCCACTGCTGGTTGAAGGCCTCCCCAAGCCATCACCATACATACATCTCACATGGTCCTGCAAGGGTAACAATCCATCAAGCACCTGCACATGTGCAAATTTCATCTCTCCATATTCTTGGTGGACGTACACTTGGGTGTATTCTTTCCCGTCTACCATTCCAAGTTTAGACTTATCTACCGGCTATCATCCTTCGACGTGTTCTGCCCAAGACCACTTACTTTTCAGAACAGATCATATCTCTGCTGCATGGTGTAGCTCTATGCTAATTGTAGGAAATACAAAATGCACTTGTCAATACTAGGAAGTGTACTGTCCCCGACCCTTGTAATACAGTCAATACAATTGATGTAAATGTGTACCCTAAGAATTCTAAAGCTATACACTTATCTTGATTTGAAGCTTTCGTGCCTGCAGGAATCCATACTCTTTGGTTCTTTCGGTAAAGTCACGTAGGTAGAAATAAAATAAATCACGACGTTTCGATTACAACACAAGCAATCTTCAGGTGGAACAACCACAGCAAGAAAAAATGCTGAAGTAGGCGAGATAGCTGCCGTTGGCAAGAGGTTATATAGGTAAGAAAGGGGGGAGGGGCAAGGGGCGAGAGAGAGAGGGGGGGACAGGGGAAGGGGGGCTGCGTAAGTGCTAGGGGGAGGAGAAGTGAGGTTGCGGGGGAAGTAGACGGGGCTAGAAGTGGGAAGCCGAGTGTGGGACACGGAGGGAAAGTAACTCGGAAAATCTACTAGTACCCGGCGGGTATGATGGAAACAACCACACCAGTTAAGGCATTACCTGGTTAATAACATCCTTACAATGATTGTTCAATTTGTATTCATCTTCTCGGTTGAAGTTATGTCTATGTTTATATATCTGGATGGCTTCATGAACAAATCTTTGATAGTAGTCCGAAGATTTGCAGAGTACCTTGGTCTCGAAATAAACAATATCATGTGAGCCCACAGCATTATAACAATGGTCAGCTATGGCAGAGGTATTGGTTCTGCCGTGTTTCAGATCTGCCTTGTGTTCGCGGACACGGTCCAAGACATGTCGTTTCGTTTCCCTAATACAACTGCTACCGCAGGTACAACTCAGTTTGTAGACTCCAGAATGACCTCCGTCACAAATGGGATTAAATGACGGATTTTGTGTACTGTATTGAATCGGACCTGGATCTTGTGTTTGTTTAAGATTTTGGAAATCTTTTTGGTAACACCTGCTATGTATGGTAAATGTATGGTTTTGATTGGCTTCTCAGGAGATGGTTGGAGAAACAGCTTTGCGAATAATGCGGTCCAAGTACCCATTCATCTTGAGGGCTTGGTGTGTTCCAGTTCACTGGCTAGGTGGTGTTGGTCGGATATGCAGTGGGCCCTATGGTGTAGTGCTTTGATGAGGGAATTCTTCTGGGCCGGATGGTGGTGGGAATCAGGTTTTAGATAGGAATCTGTGTGGGTGGCTTTCCTGTGGACGGAGTGTCCCAACGAGCAGTCAGGCCTCTTCTCAAACAAAACATCCAGGAATGGTAGCTTACCATCCTTCTCCACTTCCATGGTGAATTTGATGGATGGGTGTATGGAATTGATGTGGTTGAGAAATTGGTTCAATGCTGGCAGACCATGTGGCCAAATGACGAAAGTGTCATCTATGTATCTCTTCCACAAGGAAGGACGTAGGGTGGATATCTGGATGGCATCTGTTTAAAATTTCTCCATGAAAACATTCGCTATCACTGGTGATAAGGGGGAACCCATGGGGGTACCTTCATTTTGTTTGTAGATAGTACCATTCCAGGTGAAGTCAGTGTTGGTAAGGCAGTGCCTAACCAAAGTTGGTACATCAGGATTCAGTCCATGTTGGACCAAGTCTTCAATTATTGCTAAGGTATCAGGTACAGGAACCTTGGTGAACAGAGAGACTACATCAAAGCTGACAAGAAAATCATCTGGAGACAGTGAGATGCCCTTGATTAGAGAGACCAAGTCAGCTGAGTTACGTACTGCTGAGGTAGTCTTGCCCGTGAATGAAAGCAAGGTCTCAGACAGAAATCGGGCCAGTTTGTAGGTAGGCGAGTTGATAGTGGGAACGATGGGCCGAAGTGGAGTACCTTCTTTATGGATTTTTGGAAGACCATACAATCTGGGTGGTCTAGCAGCTGAAGGTTTTAGAGAGAGCTGCTTGAATGGTTCGATGACAGAAGTCAAATTGTTAATGATAGTGTTGGTTTTAGCAGCTCTCCCGCCTACCTCAGCATTTTCTTGCTGTGGTTGTTCCACCTGATGAGGATCGCTTGTGTTGTGATCGAAACGTCGTG